CAGGAACTCCTGACTGCCGATCCGGCCTACCACGAGAGCATCTTTGAGGCGCGTCTGAAGCGCCATGACCCAGCAGTGGCTCTCCTTCGACAGAATCTCACTGCCCAGGATAATATCACCAAGGCCCTCGTAGAACTGAATGCCGGTGTTGCTGTTAAGAAACACGACTTGCTGGAGCAGCGTGAGCGGTAGGCACTGGCACCATCTAATGTCCACACTCTTGTTTCCGTTAAATGCGATTTTGCGTTTGCGATAAATCAGTATGTACTGAAATATCGGCATCCCAAGCAATATATATTGTTACCGGTAAAGTCCTTTGGGAAAGAACTCGTCAGACAAATGAAAGTGTTGCAAAAACAGCTTACTCAAAACGATGACTAAATACAAGATTGTACGGTGGTCAGCGTGTGGTAAGATAATCGTCAATTGCATTTAATTTTGCAGTCAGTGGGGAAAATAGCTGAGCCTAGTAGTCATTCTGGCGGATTCTAGATGATTGTTTAGGAAATCCTGCCTGAGCAGTCAGCTTACTGTTCTGTGATGGTAGATTCCATAGAAGCAGTAAGTTGGGCGGAAAAAATCGATCCAAGTACGATTTAATTTACGGCGTGCGGTGAGCCTCGTAGCTCAACGGTAGAGCGTTGGCTGAGCAAAAGCTTTCCCTGCTGTGTGGATTCGATTCCCACCGAGACCGAGAGTTTTTTCACAGTTGGGTCAAATAAATTAAGCAAATCTGCCAATCCCCCCTCCCCAAACCTTTTCATTGGATAAACAAATTTAGAAATAACGTATACTCGGGTCAAAAAGTGGATCTTCTCTTAATTGGCTTGCAGACAATTCTTTTCCTCCAGCTGAATCTCCTAAAGTAGACTGTTTGAGATATGGAAAGTAGTTAATGCAACACAGAAATGCGCAATCATGTCATAAGATTGTTCACAACATCACTGGCTTAGACAAAAAGGCAAGCTTAGTGCTTAGGACTGTCTGTACAAGTGCTAGTAACAAATAGAGGTCTTAGTGACTCCAAAAGAATGGCACAATAGGAGCTATACCGGTGCCAAAGGTCTATTAGGCCACTTGCTCACCAAAAATAAAAAGAGAAGAATAAAAGAATATAGCGAAAAGAATTTCTGGGGTCCATATCCTCTATGCAATGGCTTAGTATAGCTTTGCAATTGATTGGATGGCTGCAGTTGGTTCAAAATTAACTGGAATGAAGTTATTTCCAATTGGACAAGTCATCTACTAGAAGTTAAAATCCTACAGATATCAAGTCAATAATTAATAGTTGCTTTACTCCTGACCATTTAATTGGCTATGTTATTAAAAGATCGATCATCCGACTGAAGACTGAGTTATTTCTTACTTCATCATCATTAACTAACAAATTACCCAGTTCAGCACAAAATACCTATATACAGACTCAGTTTTTTACTGAGTCTTCAGTTTAGTACTCATCAATATTTTCTTGGAATGTATTCTCTAAAGGAATTGATTGTGTGTGCTATCTTCGCCAGTTCCTTCTTTTTATTTCTTTTCGTGTAAGTTCTTTTTAAGCCAACAGGTAAAAAGATAGAGGAACACGACGAAATAATCGGTGTTTCGTCATCACTCGTTACTCTTACAGCTATCCCTATCCCTATTTAAAAAGACAGGCCAGACATTTTCCTATCTCGACTCTTGTCCTTCATGCAATACAGTGCTTGCCCAATTCTGGCGTCCTTATATTTTTCACACTCTGTACTTACCGCTGAACCCTTTTCTTGGCCGATTATAGGCGCACTGAAGAAGTGGATAGCCTCATTCGTTCTGGCGAGTCCTTTGGCGAATTGCTGTTAAAGTGTGACGAGGGACAGGACTTCTACAAACAGATGTCTGAGAGACTCCAGAAGATTCGCTCAGAACTGACGGAACTTGCTGCTGACCTGGAACAACTGCAGCCGAAACCGAAACCTGTGGTTGCTCCCGTTGTCGCCGCCGCCGCAGTAGTAGCACCCGTAACCACTCCTGGTAAGTTCTTGTAGTACTTTAAACTTGTTAAGTGAAAGATATGTTAATTTTGCTGACGTGATCATCAGCTGGTTTGGCTGGTCTTTGTGTTGATGCAATCGGCCGCGCGTCAAGCTCTCTTATCGGTTTCTTTTGCAAGGGCTGGAGTTCCAACTACGTCAAGTCAAGTTTATTATAGGAGATATATAGGCAGACGTCTTTGAACTCCCTACTGGTACACAGTACTGAAGAAATGTATCGGTACAGCCGAACATTTAAAAGAGATCGTTTACATAATTGTAGGTGACTACTCACTTGTTCAAAGTAATACAATTACACGTGGTTATGTCAGTTAACAAGAGACAGCAGGTGTAACTAAGGAAAAAAGAGCAGACAGTGAAAAAATCTTAAGGCACGACTCAGAATTCAGAAGATGGAATGTCATTTGGGTTTTTCCTAGGAGAAAAACTGTCGCTCATGGAAGGAACGTATGTGAAAGATAGGACTGGCATGCTGCTGGGAATGTTGGTGGCAAGCCAGGGAGCCCATCACGATTAATATAATTATCAGAAGGTTCACACAAAGAGGAGACTGTAGAGTCACAAGAATATCTCGAAGAACCGGAGATGCGACCATGACAAACCCTTGCTGTTTGCCGCGTCTGCTGATAAGTTAAGAAAAACAGAGGAACCCGCCACGGTCGTCATCAGTCGGTTTTTAGGTGGATATGAAGAGTAACTTTGCAATCCCGCGTAGCCTAGAGCCATATTTGCGATAGAGGCGACTGTCGACGCGATCTTTGCAGTTTGCAGGTTACCGACATGACCATTTCTGGCTTTCAGTTTATTTATACCTCCACTACAGGTTACTAAGACCACCACTACGACAAATCAGACGCGTGTTTCCTCTGGTCGTTTTCCGGGGCAATTTCCCACCAGCGTGTGTGCTACGTCGCCCAAGGGTCTGCAACTTTAGACACTTGCTTGCCCTAGTGCTTCATTAGCTCCAACGCTTCCTCTCTTTTCTTGTCTCTGACTGCGTAGTCGACCGCAAGTTGCAACCGTCTACCAGTTTTCTGCTCCATTTCATCATAGGTAGGGGAATTTCTTTTTTATGAACATGTGGTTGTTGCACCAGATCGCTAGCTTTAGCAAATTATCGTGGC